TGTATGATTTCTTGCTGGCGAGAAATACAGAGCGCGCGGGACACTCCACAAAACCTGGCAACTATCCTCCATCATGCATTGGCAATAGTATTCAATTCTAGTACACCTGAAAAGTACTATGTGAACTCCAATAAATGTTATCAATAAAAGATCTGCGCCTTGGTACAGTTTCTTTCACATTTTATTCTTACAGATGTCACTTGTTTCTCAAGCTATTTAGTCCCCTTTAATGAGTTTGTTTCAGGGACTGGGAAAGTAATTCAGTTCATAGAATATGCTAGGAAGCATGAAGGCCTGGGTGTGACCTTCAGTACCAAATAAAACATCATGGTAGCATAATCCCCATAGTCCTAGCCAGCACTTGGAAAGTAAAGGCAGGAAGGTTAGAAATTCAAGGCCATCCTGGACTACACTAGCAAGTTTGAAGCTTTGCTACATGAGACCCTGTTTAACTAACCATACTTACAATAAGTTTGTTTCATACATTTTAGTGTAGTTAAATTGTTTTGGTGACACTCTGCATTCCATCCTGGGCTCTCCTGCTGTGGTAATTTGAATAAGAATGGTCACCATAAACTCATAGATTTCAATGTTTGGTCACCAGGGAACAGCACTTTTAGGAGGTGTGGCCTTGTTGGGATATATGTGTCCTTGTTGGAGGAAGTGTGTCACTAGAGGTGGGCTTTGAGGATTCAAATGATCAAGCCAGGCCCAGTGTCTCTCTCTTCTTGCTGCCTGAGGATCCACTACTTCCCACCATTACAACAATGAATTAAACCTCTGAACCTGCACGCCAGCCCCATTTAAATGTTTTCCTTTCTAAGAGTTGCCATGGTCATGGTGTCTCTTCACAGCAATAGAAACCCTAAGATGCCCATCATTGATATTTTTTGTTTATATTAAGGTTTACTTAATGTGCTATAAACTTCTATGGCTTTTGACAACCCCAAGCTGTCATGTATCATCAACTAACAAATCATAAATGACATTTTCACCATGATAAACACACAGACACACAAACATGAGGATATAAAAAGGGTGCAGAAGCCAACTAAGACAGCTAATACTAAAGCTAAATTCCTAATGCTTTGACAACAAAATATTGTTAGATTATTTCTCAAAGTGAAAAGCAGTGTCTTTGTCTTCATAAAGATACTAGTAAATGACCAAACAAACAATAGAGGAATACAAATCTTCCGTGTAAAAGAATTCCAATTTATGTAGCTCCTCTACCCACCAGGAAGCATGCAGGCAACCCCTGCTCCTTAACTGTTGACTAAACATCTTGCCTTCCTTCCAAAGACTACAGTATAGAAAAAGGATGAGGAAAGATAACTTCACAGGGAAGAAAGTGACCAACACAGCTACAGCTAGGAGATGAATGTCAACATCAGCAGAGTGTAATAAAGTTGATAGGATAAACCCTTTGTATCATGTGATGGAGTGGCACTTCACCTGTGTAATCTTCTCAACACTGTAACTTTAATGATGGGGAAAACATTTAAATTCCATCTATGGGACATCTACAAAACTCCTGACCAGTACTTCTCAAAACTGTCAACATCATCAAAACCAGCAAAGTGCAAAACACTCTCGAGGCCAAGAAGTTAAGGAAAACATGGTGAATGAGCATAATACGGTATCACAGATGAGAAGCTAGAACAGACTAGGTAGCAAAGTAAAGGGGGAAAGTATATAAATTCAAAACTTTCCAAAAAATAAGCTTTACTATTAAAAGATAAGAGTGGCAGCCAACTGTTCATAATCTGTGTCCAGTAAATAGGGAACTGATACTGTTAAAGGATGTGCACACCCCTTGCCAGACAGGTTCCCATGCAGGGAAGGTCATTCATCTCAGTCCAGCCAGCTGGGATGTCACCGGCAAATAGATCTCAGTAACCACGTAGACCCTCCTAGCCCATTCACCCTTTTCTTCTCAATTTCTACACACATTCAATTTCACTTTTATTCTGTTGTTGTTATTATTTCTTTTAATTTATGACTGTTGATCTTCTTATATTTCAGACACAAAACTTCTTCAGTAATAACTTCTTATTCTCAGGGTGTAAAACATAAATTCTGTTGATTTTCTTGCCCACAACTGAAAAAAGGAGCCCTGTGCTGTAAGACTATCTTCCCGATTCCACACACTGGAAGTTGCAACATATTGTTCTAATGAATTGCTAGCATTTGTACTGTTCGGCATGGAAACTCTAATTTCCTGAAGCCCTGGATCCAAGAGATGAACCACTGGATGGTTAAATGAAGGAAGCAAGGCGGCAGGCAGGTAAGAAAGTAGGAAGATAGGAAAGAAGGAAGAAACAGGGAGGGAACCCAAGGTTGAATTCCCATAAGCACATTCACTATGATCAAGCCAGCTGCCAAGGAGCTCTCAGTAAGAAAATGCTTTAAAATTGCTGGGACACTAGAGTACTTCCCACCTGAAGAAGTGGGACAAAATCTCTGGGTGTCACTGGAACCCTACATAAAACATGTTATAATACCACTCCAAGACATAGTCCATTTTTTCCTGTGTTTTGTGTTTTATGAGTTAGTTGTATTTTCCTTGACTAGTTGTAGACATGTTTGAAATTTGTAAATTAATCATTTAAACATCAAAATCAAAGCTTCTTTGTGGGTAGAACCTTGGAGTTTCCTTATTTACTAAGCTTGTTTCACTCCAGAATCCTGGAGTTAAGGGTTTTGTTTCAGAGAAGGAAAACTTTATAGAGTTCAGAGGAAGTATTGTCACAGTTTCTCCTGCTTTCAGTTACATTTCAGAAACATATTTTGTTGGGAAGGTGAAAGAAAACAGCAATTTAGAGTATACTTAAGATAGAGCTGGTGCCTATTACTGGGCATCCCTGTAATGTTTTTATGACTTTGGTGTCAACATGCACCCCTCCCACCATCCCACCCCACAATCCAATAAATGCCTACTCTGAGTTGACCCATGATCTAATGGCCCATGGTAGCCATTTGATCCTTCTTAGTGTTTAACATAATTTTTTCAGGTTTTATTATCCAACTCAAGTATTTCAGAAGTTTCCAATCCTCTTTCTCTGAAAGGCCTTCACATTTTCTGTAGACTCTCACATGGAGGTGATGACTGTTGGGGGCCTGCAAAGCTAATATGAGCAGGCTTCCACTCATTCCTTTCTTGGTCACTGGAGATAAAAGTACAACTCCATTTCTCAGCGGCAAAGGTACTGAAATCCAGGAAGGTTGTCACTGATCTCAACATCACGGGGCTTTGGAAAGGACTGGAGCTGTGGCTTTCAGCTGTGGCTCCACCTAAGAACAACCTGGAACCCTTTGCAAACTCTTCATGTCCATGTTCCTTCTAGAATGATCAATCCAGGCTTCTGAACCTTAGGGCCAGCGTCAGAATTTCTACAGTTCTCATTCTGATGTGTAAACTAAATTTAGAATAATACAGCAACAAGTTGATTAGTAACTAACCTTGAGTGGTTTTCATGCCATTCTTTTTATTTCCTTTTTTGTCTTACATCTTTGAACAAACAATATGAAGTATGTTAGGCCCATCACAATAGCAGCCAGCATCCTACCACTTAACAATTTCACAGGACTTTTCATTGGAAGAAAATATCACAAAATAGATTACATACCTCCAGCAAAGCTGCAGTTTCTTTTTGCTTTCTAAGCCTCCAGAATACAGTTTATATTAACCTAAATCCCCCAAATAGTCTTTCTTTTGATTTATGGGATGAATGTTTGTCAACAAACACTCCAGTAATCTCACTTAAAGAAAACTGTGGGTTTTTTTCCACATTCCTCAAGAAGACTTTTACCCAAACAAGGAAGCCACAAACACAAAGAGGCAGAACTCAGCAAGGGATTCACACTGACCTTATAATAAACATGCAGCCAAATGCCTAGGCCAGCAACTTTTTTTCTACCAGAAGCTATTTTTAAAACATCAACAACCACCACCAAACTTCACTGCAATGAACAAAAGGGATTAAAAGCTGCCTGAATTTTATGCAAATAACTTTGTATTTGCAATACCCTTCTTGGAAGACTTCTCTGTCCCCAGGCTCTTTACTTCATGGATGAGATTATTTTGTTGTAGAGCAATGCCACCCACATCCACCCCAAAACTGAAATGTAAAAAGAAAAGAGAAGCACTCACAGGAGTATCTGTTTTATAGCCCAGGCCATGATGAGATCTGTCAAAAATTAGGCTCAAAACTGATTTTCTAGAAGTCCAAGAGCCTTGAAGATCTCTTTTCCCCTTCTTTCCCTTCATATTTCATACAGCAGTTCCAAGGCCTTCATGGAGATTGTGCAGAGTGAAATAGCAGTGGTGTGTGTGTGTGTGTGTGTGTGTGTGTGTGTGTCTTTCTGCGTGTGTGGTGTATGTGTGTGTGTGTGTGTGTGTGTGTGTGTGTGTGTCTTTCCACTTAGAAGATCCCCTGATGTTTTCATTCTCCCCTTCATGGGTGATTAAAATGAGCAGTTTTATGAGCATTTGTAGCTCAGTAACTACTTCCAAACATTTACATTACTATAAGTAGATATGGGAAGCCACTTAACTAATTCTAATTATTAGTTGTTGGGGATGGGGGGGCAGTACTACTGATGGCATTCTCTGTGTCACCACGAGAACCAAGACCAACATCTTTACCAGACATCCGCAACAGAGTCCTTGACAGCATATTCCACCCTATACCTTCACTTTCTGCTTGCTTTAGGGGAGCTGTTCCATCGGGATCATCGTTTTCTCCCACTTCCCTCTGCTGATATTTCCACTAAACGTTTCAAGAGGGGCTTGGTAGGTCTGCGTCTTGCAGGTTGAGAAATCCCAGCCTCAGAACTCCCTGCTTGCCTCTGATTCTGCTTGCTTCCCTTCCAGAATGGTCTTGCTATTCTGTTTAGTTACAAAGTTTGGTCTTTGACTACAACCAGCTTCAGTTCATCTGTTCCCCCTGGTGTCCTCCCTCTCTGTCCCAATATCCACCAAAAGTTTTCCATTACTCATATTATATGTAATAAACAATAATTGAAATGAAATGACTCAGAATTATGGCCAGTGAGCTGCAGGGTTTAATCCCAGCACTTGGGAGGTGGAGACAGAAAAATCAAGAGTCCCAGTTATCCTCAGCTATTTGGTGAGTTTGAGGCCAGCCTGGACTACATGACCCCCTATGTGAAAAAGTACAACAACAATAAAAATGACCCAAAGGCAATGGTGATCAATACGCACTGTATAAATGTATGGAATGTTCAATGAATAAAACTATTATTTAAATTATTTTTTTAAAAAAATAGGGACCAGAGACAATAGCTTAGCCATCAAAAACACTGACTGCTCTTCCAGATGATCTGAATTTGATTCTCAGCACCCATATCAGGTCACAACTGTCTGTCATTCCAATTCCAAGGGAGCGATAGCCTCTTTTGGCCTCTGAGGGCACCAGGCACATATATGGAGACTGCATACATTCACTACATAGTTCAAAGACATATAAGCAGGCAAAATACACATACACATACAATAAATATTTTAAGGCAAAAAACATGAAAACTATAAAAAATGAAAAATATAACTCAAAAATTTTAAATAATAGCAATTTGAGCCCTGGCGCGAGCTGGCCATGTCACTCATAACATCTACAATGCATGCCCATTTTCCTTTTCTTCTTGAAAAAGCATTCATGCTCTTTGTGGAAAATATATACAGAGCCTCTTAAGTTGCTTTCTTATAGAGAAGTTACTTACGGGATTTAATGAATAATGAAGGATGAAATTACATTGCTTTTCTGATCTCAACTCTGTTAAAAAGCCCAGGGAGTAGATACATCCAAATTCAGTAGGAACCATCTTTTCATTTTTTTCCACGAGTATTGATATCTTCTCTAGCTGTAGAAGACTAGTTTTCTCCAAAAGTTTTTAAAGTTTTATTTTTTTAAACTTATATGCATAAATGTTGTGCTTGTATGCACATACGTGAACCATGCAATGAATGCATGCAGTGTCCAAAGAGGCCAGAAGAGGGCACCAGAACCCCGGAACTGTATTACTGCAGGTGCTGGGACTCAAACTTCTGGACTGCACAAAAGCAGCAAGTCTTAACCACTGAGCCATCTCCCCGGTCCCTAGCCAAAGTCTTATTTATCAAAATGCTGTTTAAAATCTCTGCACTTTGCCAATCCCACTCTCTGCCAGCCAGATCTGCAGCAGCAGATAAGAGACAGCTTCATGCCAGACTTCACGATATTCAAGTTTCCCAAGATGAATGCCAACCGATTCCATTCACCACCCCACCCCCACCCCATGATGCTTTCCATCCCTTACCACCACCATCACCACCCCAGGGAAAGTTAAGACATGCTCCCGTGGCCTTGGCTTGCCAGCTCAATTTCACCAGTCCCTCGTATTTTTTCCATGCTAATGGCTACATGACACATACATATTTTGACTCCAGTGATTGTCCACATGGGTTCCTACCATCTTTGGTCCAATGAAGAGCATGGGTGACAAATTATTGCAGGAAATTTAGCTTCAGTGAGAGTGCCATGTGTTGTGGGATATTTGATCACACTGTGAATCCCGAGTTTTCTTTAATTAAATAAAAATCAACCTTGTTTCAAGGGGCAGAACCAGCAACTAGTTCACCAGAATTAGCCATGAGGAGCCAGAAATATGGATAGAGAGACACACAGGAAGGAGTAGGAAGGGGACTTGGAGTTTTGCAGTCTTTTTTGTTTGGGACGAATAGAGAGATGCATCTTTTGCAGGGTCTCTGGCCAAAAAGAAGGTCAGCTGGTTGCTTCTTGGCCTCGCTGATCTAGCAGGTTTGCACCCCCACATCTGACTTCTGAGTCTTTGTTGGTAAATAGAGTGATAGAATGACAGTGACTTAGTTAAAAACTGCATTTGGTAGCCCTGGCCAAGCTGGGGCTGTGGGACAGAAGTCCTTCCAGGCCGAAGCCTGAGTGGCAGGTAGAATGCTGACTGCTGGGCTGTGAGGCCTCAGACAGTAATTAAAATACCAGTAGATTTATGTGCAGCCACTAAACTGACAGAAAAACATCAGTCAGGATATCAAGTGTGTGTGGTCCATGCAACCTCCTTCATACTCTAGAACTTTCCTCGTAGACAGGGCAGAAGCTTTTGTGTTTCAGCTAAGACATTGGGACTGTGGATTCAAAGAGGAACTTAACTTCAGCTAGAATTCTTAATTTCCAAACAAAGTCACCACGAGTGAACATTTTTAGCAGGAGTTTGACAAACAGCAACTGATGAAGCAGCCTGCTTCGTGGCTGGTTCTGCGTGGCTTGTGTATCCTTGTGGCCAGGATTCCATGACTCTCACCTTCCCACTGCAGGTCCCACAGATTGAACCCTCACCCAGCAGACGTTCCCTCCTACCCTCCCTGCCATAGTGCTGCTGCCCAGCTTGACCCCAGCTCTACTTGAAGGTTTGACCTTGTTTCTGCTTCTCACTTAGTCCTTTGGACTCAACCCAATGGATCCATTCTTGCATCTCACTCCAGCACTGAACATCTAGCTCCTATTCTTCCACTGCCTGCTTCCTCCAGTTGTGTTCTACTGTGAAGGAATCCCACTGTCTTCTAGTGGTGGCTATAGGATCAGATCCCAGCCCTTTGACAGATGAGTAAACCCTATTCCTATAGTTTCTCCAGACAGCAGTCTGAGGATAACTAAGAATGCAGTCCAACATGAAACCAGAAGCTTACTCAAAACACAGAAACTTTTTTCATAACTCAATTGTGTGATAGATGACAAGGTTGGGCATGTTTGCTAATCATCCACAGAGAACAAGGCCATTATACCTGGACTTACTATCAATGTCACCACCTCAACAGTGATGTCAACTACTCATTCTGGCAGGTCTGGTGCACTGGCCTGGATGAGCTTACCAGCTATTTTATACCATTATAATTCCTACAATTACAGCCATTGCTAGAATATAAACTAACAGCCAACATGATCCTGATGCACTAAGGGGGGTCATGAGGAACTTACTGAAGCCTGACCTGTACAATAGAATAAAATCAAATTGAACTAAGCCTGCACCTCTATAAGGATTCAGGCATTATGCTGGCCTGCCCCTGCCACTGGCAGGATGCACTCAGGCAGTACCCTGGTCAGCCCAGGGGTCCATGAATACTAGTCTCCGCAAGCAGGTGCAAAGGACCCTTTTAAAAGACAGACCCTGCCCACTTATGATCTCTTTTTCTCTTCTCTTTCCTCTCTTCTCTCTTTCTGCTCTCCTCTCTTTCTGCTCCTGTCTCCCTCTTCTCTTCTGTCCTCTGTCTCTGTGTCTCTTTACCTCTTTTCTCTTTCCTTCCCCCTCCCTCCCCTTTCTAATAAAATTTCTCACTCAAGCTCTGTCTGCCTGGCGTGTTTGTCCCCTCACCTCAGTCACCCTCGCTGATACAGTTTACAAGTCAACACTACATTTACCACAGAACTTAAAATAATCCAATACAGCAAAGACTAACCCTTCTATCCCACAGCCTTCATCCGCACTTCCTAAGAGTCTGGACAGAGTACCAGCACACACAAAAGACTTTGTTTTGAAGTGACCTCTGTTTTGAAGTTTCCCATCCCTGCCTCTGACTTCTATCGGCCTGTTGCTCGCTATTGCTGCCCTCTTCTCTCAGTGGTTCTTTGGTTTGGTTTGGTTTGGTTTGGTTTTTTTCAGTTTTTTGAGACAGGGTTTCTCTGTAGGTTTGGAGACTGTCCTGCAATGCCCTTTGAAGACCAGGCTGGCCTCCAACTCACAGAGATCCACCTGCCTCTGCCTCCTGAATGCTGGGATTAAAGGCACTCGCCACCACCACCCAGTTCTTAAAGTTTCTTCTTATTTCTTTCATAAAACCAGGAGGGCTTTCCCCCCTAATTAATTCAAAAGTTCAAATAAACAACAAAGCAAATGTGAGAGTCAGAAAGGCATATCCACAGCCCTTTTCATAAATGGCTGGATGTCTTACTTGTCTCTCTCTCTCTCTCTCTCTCTCTCTCTCTCTCTTTAATGTTCCTCTTCAGATGTAATGGTATCACTAACCAAGCATTCAAGCAAGGCTACCGCAGTTCTACTGCAGTTTACAAAGTGAAAATCTTCTCACCCAACAAGTACACCAGTAGGAGATGGGGACAATTTTTAGAGCCCCAAATTAAAAAATAATCCCACTATTTAATACTTTTGACAGCCAACCCTTCCTCCACCAGCAATTTGTCTGAGTAAACATTCTTCGAAGCTGACATTTCCCAGGGGTGTGATGCAATCCATAGAGGAGACATCCTGTGTGCGTGAATAACAGCCGTGCTCCCAGCTCTGTGGCCCATAACAGTCATCCATTTTGTAATGTTTGCTTTTTTTTTTCTCCTTCCTCTTCCTCTGTTCTGAGCTCTAGAAGTAAATTACCATTCTCACAGATGTGTGCCCAGTGTACAACTAAGCTGCTGTTCCAAGTTTAGCAGCACCTCAGGCAGGGACATCCAGCAAACCGCCACTGGCTAAGGGCCAAGCCCAGAGCTCAACCAACACTGCAGGCGCTTCCTCCTGGCCTCCTCTAGGCTATGGGATTTCCCAACTGTTGTAACAGCTCTGACACGTGTCTATCAGGGATGCCAAACACAACCAGAACCTCCAGGAACCCCTCATGATGCCTCCGGAAGTTAATTGCCTTTGCTGCTCAATGCACTCTCAACTCTCATTAGCCTGGGCACTGGCCTCAGCCCTAACCTCCTCATCCCAGGGCCAGCTCCAAGTCGGCTCTGCTCTTGTGTGCTCTCCGGGTGTGCTAGGTATCCACTGCACTGCACCTGAAGAAGGCTCATGCACATCCCAGGCACTAGGCATCCGCTGGCAGCCTGGCCCACGTCCTTCTACCCCAACAACTTCAATCTACTCCACTTGCCTCTAATTCCAGTGACATGTCTGTGACACAAACTAACCTTGAAGAAGTAGAAACTACCTGGAGTGGAGACTGTGGGAGGAGCCCAGGAAATGGAGAATAGGACATCTGGGAGTAGATAAGAATATCTATGTCCATGGAAAGAACCATTTTATCCCCTCCCACTTAAGGGGCCCACACCTCCACCACAGCATCTGGTCTTCTCCTGGACCTGGGAGTTGGGGGTAGAACATATAGGCTCATCTGTGTAGGAACACACTGAGCAGCACTGTGAAACAGGCAGAATATACCCCAAGTCTAGTCCCTTACTTCCATTCCACGGGCTCAGGGGTGCCCCTGAAATGAAGCCCCCCCACACCCGTGCCCACTACATTGAGATAATGAGGTAACTATGACAACTACCATACCAAAGTTTGTCAGAGGGAAACTCCTCAGCCAACATTTTGAGTTCTTCCTGTGTGTTTTAGATTGCAAATGGATGTTGTGGTGTGATGACTGAAACATTAAAAAAAAATTGACCTAGGTAGGTTGAAAGAAGTAAGCGAGGTTCCCAGGGAGGAATATTTCATACTAAAATGTGTTTTCTTTTTATTCGCCATGTATCTGGCCCACAGTACCCTCGCCCCTTCCCCTCTCTGGCTGCAGAAATTGGAGCATTTTGGAACATACCTAAATCTAGGTGGTCCTGGTCTTCGTGTTCGTTCAGTCCATCCAGCTGGCTTTTGGCACACTGAAAAAGGCACAGGAGAGGCAGTTCATTGAATTCCATCTTACCACACTAATGTTTATTTCTTGTGAGTTGAGATGACGCTCTTGGAAAACATCAATAAAACCACATCACTCACATCACAACACACAAACAGGAAATTCATCTGTGTTCATAATTAGCACTGAGAGCTAAAAATAAGTAAAGGATGTGTGTCCAGCTAAAACACACCTGAAAGCTGCCCATGGGTAAAGCAGTACCAGCAAACAGCCATGAATGAGACAATGCCAGGACCGTATGTTCTGGAGGATACTGTCAAACAGTGACAACTTGGAAAGATGTTGAGGTTTGGTCATAAAAGTGTAGCCCATTGCAATCCTAATAAAATAAATTGGATTTGGGGCACACTCCTGCTTACTTGTAGATTTTTATGAACACTGGCTCAATTGTCATGTCTGCTTTAACACACAAGGAAGACAACCATCATCCCTTACCTTTCCATTGTCCTCCTCAGGTGGAGGTCTGCCAGACTCCAAATTCTTAATCTCTGCAAAAGATATAATTCTTGTTAGAACTGCTAAACAGAGCGTTAGTTTAAAAAAATAGGAAAACAATGAAAGCAGATGACAAGTTATAAGCAAGGCATTAGCTAGGTTTTTAGATTAGACTACTTAACAGTTGACCCTACCAGAGAATAATGTATTGGTCACCTGACCGAACACACACTGGTATTATTTGTGTACACTAAGATGTAAACAGGCAGGGAGCTGTCACTGGAAATCTTGGAGCCACAGGGCTGGGGAGGACATTAAATACATCAGTGCCCTTCACAACAAAGGAAAGATGCTCATCCCCAAAGCTTCAGCATAGATGCTGAAGATGCAACTGGTGCCCACCTGAGCAAATCCCACTCGTCTCTTCCCCTGGATTCCACAGATGGCAAAGGGAGAAAGAAAAAATGACTAATTCATTCTCAAAGAGACCCAGCTGTCCCTTCTGAAGCACTGTAAGGGGAGCACGCCACACAGCCCTCAGCACCGACCTCAACTGGCCAGGCTGGCTAAGCCGTGACTGGCCCCACATTTCCCCTCACAGCAAAGCTCTTCCTGGAAGCAATGTTCAGGATGTTCTGTGATGAACATGAAAATCCAGGTGAGGCCGCCTTTTTCTCTGTTCCTTGGCTGATTGGTTCTCTTCCCAAATACTCAGTTTCCCAGAAACAAGCTTTAAGACTATGGAAATAGTTACAGTGTGCAGGTTTAACCCTAGGGAAAGTAAGTGCTGATATCCCTAGCAGGGGCAAATAGCTGAAAGTGGTCTGTCTGAATTTAAAGAAATATACAACCTTCTGGGCCTTGGGATCTTTGCTGGAATCTCAGCTTCCCGGACCCTAAGTACCTTTTTGATATGGTCCCAGAGAAAAGCCAGAAATTTCCCCAGAAAGTTCATAAACTGGACATTCCCTACCCTTTTGTCTCTCCTGCTAATTTCAGTTGCCTACCACCTCAAACTTCCAAGTGGACTTATTCAAGCTCTTCATACTCTATGTGGTACAGTCTATATTTCTGCACAGAAAATGTACTGGGCCTTATTTATATGGCTCTCCATGACAAACCAGACAATAAGGGTGATAGATCGCAAAGATGGGACAGGAAGTAATGGGGCAAGGACGAAGCAGCCACAACCCCACTTGTCAAACTTTTTAAAAATACTTCTATTTTTGGTTGTGAGCCTAGCATTTAGCAGATGAGCCATCTCTCCAGCCCTTTTTTAATACTTAAGAATAACTGAATCTGGGCTAGGGGGATGGCTCACATGCCAAGAGCACTTGCTGCTCTTACAGAGAACACAAGTTCAGTTCCCAGCGCCCACAGATGCTGCTAACTTCAGCTCCAGGGCACCTACACCCTTTTCTGGCCTCTACTAGCACCCTCACATGCATGTGTGCATACCCACACACATCACACAAACATACACATAAGTAAAAAATAATTTATTTTTTTAAAAGAACTACTGAATTTGTCTCATATCAACCAAGCAATTCTACAGTGTCACTGGACAACTGTTTATCGACCATGAACTCATAATGCTTATTATGTTTCATGATAAAAATGAAAACATAATAACCTCAATTTTATGCGGTTGTGTCAACTCTACTCAACAGAGAATAGACACAAGGTACTGAAGTCCTGCCTGGTAGCTTATACAGGTAGCATCAATGCCAGCTTTTACATGCACATCACAATCTGGCCTCGGGGTGGCGGAAGAGTAACATTTGCGTAAAGAACAGCCATATATGTGAAAACAGGCCAGTTTTGCCTTTGAGAGTGAATCCCGTTTCAGTGCCAAAAGTCCAAAGCAAACAAAGCAAATTTTCCAGTCCACTTCATATGCACAGAACTGGTGTGAATCACCTACTATGATGTTTGCCATTTAGGTGTTGCTGAAAAATCCCTTTGGAAACTCATACCTACAAGATAAAACTTCAAGTAGAGAAGATAGCTACAATGGGTCCAAAGAGAATAACCAGAACCAAGATCAGGAACACATCCGCACCAGAGAGGAAGGAGACCATGCAATTCCATCCTGCTGGCTACAGCCTATGCCCATAACACCACTACAGACCACGGTATTCCTAAAGCATTCCATACATGCAGGCATTTATTCTGAAGAGCGTCCTGGAAAACAGGATATGGCCTGTTATCCATTGGCTTTCTTCCTCAGCCCAACCCCCAAATGACCATGATCTTGGCACATTTCCATCCCCACATTTTCCCCTTAAAGTCTCCTGTGATTTTTTTTTTTATTTTTTAACTTTTAAAATAACTGCTGTAGAAAATAGGACAAAAGGAGGTAATCATATTAAGTGAAAGAAGCCAGTCTCAGAAAGACAAATATTATCAATTTCTTTCATTTGTGGCTCCTAGATTTTATAAACATGCATAAAATCATGTATGTATACATGCATGTGTGTATGTAATGGAAGAAGTAAAACTAGGGGCAAAGTAGACTAATAAGACTGAAGGAAGGGTGAGGAAAGAAAGGGTAACGGCATGGGAATAGACTCAACATAATATCTACTTGGTAAAAAACGTCAAAGACAAAAAAAATTTCAAATATTTTTAAAATCTGCACTGCCTGTAACTTATCTGCATTGTAATTACTTTTAACTTTAAAACTAACTTTCAAATATATAAAAATCATCACCCTAAAATTACTTAATTTTGTGAAAATGTGAAGCCTCTGATTCATAACTCATCTTTCATTAACTTAGAGGCACTAACCAGAATGACATCTCAGGGTTTCTCAGAAAATATGGTGCTCATTCTACTGGGGTTTAATTAAATTGCTCCAGGAGCATTTCTGCTAAATTAGTAGGCTCCTTTTACACTAGCCCAGAGTACCACCAATTGCACAGTGCAATCAAACCACTCGTTGTTATAGCAACCTTTGGTTGATAATAGTATCAGTAACTCTAGCTATTCTGTTTTAAGGGCCTGTTAACATTGTCTTCAAGGTCCACCCACAAGGAAGGATTACATCTCTAAATCACACTTACCAAACTCGATAAACATGTTTTTTTTTTTAATATTGCCAAACTATAATAAAATGAGATAATCTCTAGTACTTATGTTCACTAATGACACAGCACCAACAAACAGGGATTTTTACCCCAGGGATAAGTAGCTGTAAAGTTAATATCTGTTTCATTAAGATTTCCCTGGAGAAAAGCTCATCTCTGTGTATAAGCTTTATTACCTCTGCTTGCCAAATGGAGCCAGAGTCTAGGTTTAAGCAACAAAAAGTGAGTCAGAACTCTCTCAACAGCCCTATGGCTAAACACAAGGAAGGAGCAGGAGAAAAAGCTCTCACCAGAGCTAGGCTGCCCAGGAGTACAGCCTTCTACTATCCCATTCTACAATTGATGGCCGCACCTAACTGAGACCAGCAGAGATGTCCTGCACATAGCTGGCAAGCTGGTGGCGATAACCATGTGCTCTGCCTCCCTAATAAATAAAATAGCACCCTAGTGATGCTCATCCTCACCCTACAACCCCTATAGCTATACACTAATTCATACATAATTCAATGTCCTCTTGAGTGTGTGACACAAGCCTGTAACCCCAGCACTGGGGAGGCTGAGGCAGAGGGTCACATAGTAAGTTCCAGAACAGCCTGAACTACACAAAATGATATCCTGTCTCAAAAAACAAAACCAAATACACCACTCTTTGAATGGGTCCTTGTCTCCTCATGGGTACTGAATGCATTCTGGAAACGGACTTTGGGTTGGAACCAAATTGGTCTGTGAACCCATGATTGTATCCCCTGCCTGTTACATGCAAGGTGGGGAATCAACAAATCCCCCACCCACCTACATTTGTTGTCCAAAATCCATCCATCTGATGAGATATAGTGGGTGTTGGGCCAGCTCTGGGTGGGGAGAGAGAAGGAAAGTTGCTTGCTTTATTGAATTGCAAATTCGAACACTTGCAGTCCCAGCACTATTTCATTACTACAGTTCTGGCCACCAGACTGACTGGACAGACCAGGGTTCTGCCCCCTGCTTCTTCCCACACATGTAGCCCTGGCACCTCTCTTGTTGTGCACCAAGATTTCACTGTTGACTTATTTACTTCCTTCTATGGCACACAACATGCAACTCTCGGTGCCAGACAGCTAACGTGGCAAAAGAGACACTCTAAATTCACAAACTATTATAACACTTGAACTTCGGTTAAATTCCTCCCCTTTTCCCCAAATAGGAATATTAATGAGAACACTCATGTTGCTGGCCCAGCACAGTATAACGTGGGGGAAACAATGAAGCAGTTATCCACAAAAGTCCCAATGAGTCTTTTCCTCCAAGTGCTCAAATATTACAGGCAATCTCACAAGCTCAAATCATTCCAATGAAGCTACAGCAGCAGAGATACCAATGCAAAGATGGAATCTGGCCCTCAAGTACCCCCCTCCCTTGTGCTGGCTCCGGGTCATTTTATTTTTATATCTGGGATTATTCGGAATGAAAAAGGCATCTTCTGGAAATATTTTTATCTAAATTATTCTTAATACTTTTTTCTAAGCTACAACAGTAATTGTTTAAGAAAACTTGAAAAATAAATATCAATATAACCACTATTAAAGGAGAATATAGCAAATTTTAATGTATGTTATGCTTATCTAGCCTAGCTGGAGTGTAATGCATACACCACACTACTCATTTGTTTAAGGCACACGCACAATTTGTTTAGCTTTAATATGGTCAAGATGTGCAACTATTACCCACCATTAGTTTTAGAACATTTTCCTATTGTCAACATGAAACCCCACAGCCATGAGCAATCACTCTCCATAGTTCTTCAGCTGCTCTCTGACCTCCTTTCCACAGCCCAGCCCTGGCAACCACTACCTTAATTTCTCTCAGTGGTTTGCCTGCTTAAGGTATTTTATACAGGTCGAGTCATGTGCTCTTTTGTAATTGGCTTTATAAACATAGCAGCATGTCTTCAGGTACTCTATCAGTACTTCTTTAGTTTTTAATGA